GTCCAGGGGCTGGGGTCAAGCAAAGGCAGCTTAATATAATTATTTAGCATGCGGTGTTTGAAATAACAATTTTCCCATTTTTTATTTGAATTTATAACCTAACACTTGATTTTAAAAAGGTGCTTTATGATAAGATTATACGCGAACACAAAAACATTCTTGATTTATAAACGTGCAGACATCTTGCATCATCTCTCTGTTTCTATGTTTAGTTTCAAGAAGCCAGATTTTCCAGAAAWTTTTTTTAAGTGATCTTGAGTTTCAGGGGTTCCATGGAGTTTTATTTTCATCTTAATCTATTATTTTTAATTTGACAGCTTTTTCACTTAAAAGGTCCGGGTCCTTGTAAGAAAAAAAAGTGGTTTAAAACTTTAGCACAAAACCTTATATATTGAGCAATTGACCAATTTTGAAGGTGTACACTTTTAATGGAATTTTTATGTATGTCTATGCTTCCAAAGCATTGCTTATCTTAAAATGTATACATAACTATACACATAGATCTATTATATAATTTAACCAGTCAACTAATTCACTTGATCCTCATAAGACTATTTTCTCACCCGGTACTAAAACATAGCATCCACCCATAGCTACTGAATTGCATTCAGATAGGGAAATGATGTTAACAGACTTAATTAGCATATTTTCATTCAAACCACCTTCAGACCTGTTATGGACATTGTTCATCCACATAATGCATTTCATCCTGAGCCTCACTGCRGTATTTTATTTTATTTTATTTTTACTGGACAGACATGACCAACAGCTGCAAAGCTCTTACCTGGACATCCAGGAGGAAGAAAAAGTCCACTCAGCTGTGGCTGATTAAAGCTAATTAAACAACCTTGGGGATACTCCGAACATTTGGCTTTTCTTGCTTGCTTTGGAGTTCTCTGTTGGCTAAGTGTTTTAATTCCATTCATCCAAATATGTCTGTAAACTTTGAATCAGGTTGGATTAAGAAGACCCGATGAGGTGAGTTTCTCTTTAGTTTACAGTTTGGTCTGAATGCTTTTAGAGCTGACTGGGCCTGTCACTGTGGACTACAGTCTGAGTGAGTGTTGCATTTTATTTGTCTAAATAAACACAGCWGTTATGTTCACAGTGAAGCTGATGGCTGCACATGCTATGACATCATTGTACTCTTTTTTTTTTCCCTCCCGGATCATGTCTGTTGGGTAATTAAGCTCATCAAGAGATAACTACAAAAGTGCGACTGAAATAACTCGTCTGCTAATGTGAAAATAAAAATATACTGTAGTTCAKATGTCTGAAAGTTTTGTAGTTTTTACAGATACATCAGTAGATCTGCTGATGATGTTTTTTTTGCTGAGTATATATCTGTGCACAAAGAGAGGAAGTGACCCCCCAATCTGAAAAATTTGTAAAAGATCTGATAGATTTTCTGKTCATTTTAAGAACTTCTACTCTAAATTGTTGGTATAAATAAAACAACATAAAATCAGTACTTTATGAAGGCAGAACAATGAAAACCAGACTCTGAACTGTATCTTTGATCACAACTGAATTGTTCATTATCCTTATTTTGTTTTTTGTTTACACACTGAGAACCGGTAGGTGGTCTTGACACTTGATTGAAAAAAAATCAATACTTTATCATAAAATATCCACTACACCAGTGGTTCTCACAGTGGCCCCCATCCTGCATGGTTAGTTTGTTTCCCTGCTCTTCAGTAGTTCTGCAGAAGCCTGCCAATCACTTTCATTGAAACCCACTAGATACCTTCAAAAACTTCAGTAACCAGTGACTTTATTTTTTACAGACTAAATCAACTACACTCTGATAAAAAAAAAATCAAAATTTTTTCCCATCTCCCATTTGTTGCACCGCTAAATGGATGATGCCCTTAGCATTGTCCTACACCTGAGTGAAGCCCCCCCCACCCCACCCTGTTCAAATCTATCAAAATTGGTGTCGAACGTTTGTGCTGTTTTGTGCAGCAAAAATTTTTGTGCCGCTATCGTTTTTGAGATGATAGTAAAAGTTTCTAGACAACATCAGAGATCAACCAGCCCCACACACACACACACACACACACTACCCAAATCAAACAAAACTGGTGCCAATCAGTTGTGCTATGTTTGAGCTGGTTTGTGCTGCTCAAATTTTTGTTTGTGCTGCTTTTGTTTTGAAGACATTAACAAAAGTGTAAAGGTCAAAAGGTCGGTCGGCCTTTTTTTTTTTTTTGCTTTCCTTAGTATGTAAGAATATATTACCTGCAGGCACATGCTTGCCCCTTAAAACTAAGAGGTTAAACCAAGAGGGGGTTTGCACCTTTTATTGATTTGTTTATGGGCAGAAAAAAAAGCTTTAGTTATTCAATTTTTACCAACTCATGACCAAAATGCTTTACAAAACCCTTGAAGTTCAGATGTTTAATTTGGCTGTGAGGTATTTAGAAAAATTGCATTTGGGAGTCCTTCTCTTACTTTGTCCAAGTAAACATACATTGGCAAATTCTTTGAGCTGATGSTRACAGAAGTGTTAAAAGTGAATACAATTTCTCAGTTGTTCTGAAGTCATCGCTTTTCAGTCAAAATCTGATTTTTCTCCTCCCCTTGATGATAAAAGCATTAGAATGTGTGAATAAGAACAATTCAGCTTTTATGAAATGCATTATAAAAGACAGCTTTATATCATATATGATCAGTGAACAAAATGCAGTTCATGTCGGTGCACTTTCATTAATATCTTCAAAACAAAAGCAGCACAAACAAAAATTTGAGCAGCACAAACGTAGCACAATTGATTGGCACCAGTTTTGTTTGATTTGGGTAATGGGGGTGGGGGGGCTGATCTCTGATGACGTCTAAAAACTTTTATTAATATCTTAAAAACGATAGCAGCACAAACAAAATTTTTGCTGCACAAAGCAGCACAAACGTCTGACACCAGGGGGCCAACTTCACTCAGGTTTCGCGCACTTGTATAAGGCCTAAAACACGGGGGCCGGCCCTGCTCAAGGGTCACTAGCCAGTTTTTTTAAATTCTCTGCTCCAACACACCTGATTTGAATGAACAGGTGATTAACATGGTTACAAGAGGTAATTGCATCACTGCATCGTGTGTTGGAGCAGGGAAACGAGTAAAACATGCAGGACAMTGGACACCCGATTTACAGACGCATGTTTGATGCTTTCAATTGGAGCCGTCAATCTGCATTTCCTGTGTTATTGAGAGAAAGAGTACTTATGGATAAATATATCGCACTTAGGTCTTATATAATCTCATAAAAAAACAGAAAATATAAAAATGATCAAATTTATAGATCAAATCTTCTCCTAACACTTATATTTGATCACTAGAGGGCACATATCAAGGGTTTGTGGAGGAACTTGATTCATCTTTTAATAAAACACACAAAAAATGAAGTTATATCAGAAATTGTGCGTTATTTTGAGAAGCTGAGAACAGTCAGATCTTTTAAAACATAGTGCCAAGAAAATATGTAAACAAAACCAAACAAAGAAAATACCGGTAAGCGTTTTTGCTACCTATTATTAATCAGAACAGTAAGTTTTATTTATTGGTTCCAACTGCACTGTATGCTAAATGTTCACCTTATACAAGAAACAAATACAAACACTCACACTAAAAACCAAACAATCTGCTAGCAGCCACTTCTTTCTAAAGTTACAGAGCTGCAGGGGATGAACGTGGCTGCTGCGTGTTCACAGAGCCCCAGCTGGCTCCCATTAGGACAGGGCAACAAAGAAAAAACTATGACTGAGGKGGGTGGGGCGGGGTGGTCCTGGTCACGTAAGACTACGGTAATACATTTATCAATACAAATCTAACAGGAGTGAAAAAAACGTCAACATCAAAAAATGCACAATTGATATATAAAAAAATACCACAATGGAGAAAGACGTGAAAAACAGTAATCCAGATTTTTTCCCTCTTTTTTTCCCCTGTTCATTTTAATATTATTTTTCTTCCTGAGTAAGATATTTTCTGTTTCTGGCCTACTAAACACATTTATTCCTCAAAAATGTTTAGTTGTTATATAAATTAGGTCCTTTGGATGCTGACGGTAAATCTCTAGGAACCAAATATCATCAGTACCCTGGCTCAGCAAGGCCAAGATGCTTGTCTTTGTCTCAAATATTATTCTTTTATTTATTTAAATGGATCATTTCTATCTCACAAGTTCAAATCTTTTTTTTCCACACATCCTGCCCCACATTTTGTCTTTACATTCTGGGGCAAGAAACAGAAAGAGGGCAAAAATAAAAACAGAAAAATGAGCTGATGTCTGAAATAGTCTTGCCACCTTTTGAACTTTTCGAATTTGCTAAGCATAACTTTAAAATCATTCTTTTTTTTTTTCTCCCACACATTGAAGAACAGGGGCAAACAATATTGTAACAAAAATACAGAATGGAGAATTAATAAGTATTGAAAGAAAACTAAAAAAAGCAACACAAGACAGAGAGAAAAAAACGAGTGAAGCTGAAGGGGAAAACATTTGACGGGTCGTCCTTTAAACCAGAGAGGGAATGGGTYAAGTCTTCCATCCTACACTTGGTAACATGTCCAAGAAGTCCAGAGGAATTTCTCTAATAGATATATGAGAAGATAAAGATATAAACAAAAACATCACTTAGTTTAGTAAATGACAAAAAAAAAAAACTAATATAAGAGGAGGAGATGTTTCGGTTCTTCTGCGCTTGAGTTTGATGGTCAGTCCCATCTCTGTGTGGCAGCTCAGGCGTGTCCCATCGTCCACTCAGACTTTATGGTTTCATACAAAAAAAAGTGTGTAACGTTGCCCGGCAGGCAGTTTGCTGGTAGGTCCAGATGGCTGAAGTCAAGCTTATGTTTGGATGGGTTGACTTGGTTGGTTCCTTTTTTTTTTTTAGTTTACACTGATTTGGCCTTGCTGCAGTATAAGCAGTCCTTTCACGGCTCAGTCATGTGCTCCCTCATGGGGTCGCCATGCTTGGAGGGTTGGTTTGGGGAGGTGGCCTGTGACGGATGGGTGCCCAGGGGCAGGGTGTGGGCGATGGGCACTCCCCCGGGCACCAACCCCTCCATAGGTCCAGCAATCCCACCGGGGGCGATCCCCATCACACCAGGGGGGAATCTGGGGGACGCACAGAAAGTCATCAACGCACATCATGACAAAGAAAATCAACTCCACACTGATCCTGAAGAAGACAGTTTTCTCTGAAAATTTAGAATTAAACTGAAATAAAGTCACGAATGCACATACAAAAAGGAAGCACTAAACAACACAGATTTCCTTTCGCTAAACACAATGTTATGGTGTTAAAATGTGTCGAAATACAGCAACAACATATAACAATGTTAGGGGTTCTAAACAGGGATTAGCAGGGACTAAGAAACCCATTCACCCAAACTACAAACTAAGTTTGCTCAAGCTTTGAAATTCCCATTTTGAGATTTTAGCTTTTGCCAAATGATTTTTTTTAGTAAGGAATAACAACTGTAGTGTGGGTGAAAAGAGCACAAGAAGGAAAAGTGTGACATTAAACTAAAACAAGTTGCATTAGGAGGTTTATTATGGAGTTACTTTTGAGTCTTCATTATCCCATCAAACTGTAGAAAACTGCATTCAAAACAGAAAAGCAAAACTGAGGATGAGCTAATTTAATAAAAAAGGTAATAAAAAGAAAAAAGTCACATTTTTCTGCAACAATGAACAAAATGTACAATTGTCCCCCCAAAAATGAAACAAAATTTAACTCATTTTAAAGGCACAGTGTGTAGGATTTGTTGTTTTCAGCGACATCTAGTGGTTGAGTGG